TTAAAACAAAAAAACTTTGTGAATTGTAACCTTTGGTTCCTCCGTTTTAAATGGTTACCAACCCCTGGTTTATGAAATTTCTTAAATGTGTTTTTTGTTATACTAGATTTATTAGAAATAGTTGGCTTTCACTGTGAAATAGAATTAGGTCTAAAGTTAAAGTCAGGAGGATTGGCACATTCACGGATTGTTACTCTGCACAATACTTAAATTATGACATCTTACACTATCATTACAATTAATTCATTGAGGGAGGAGGAGTATCAAATTTTAACGTAATTTTATGGGGGGGGGGGGGGGCATCTGTGAAATGTGGAGGGTCTCTGGAAGTTTGACAAGTTATAGACAAGGAGAAAGAGGTGGGCGGCGGGGTAAAGCTAAAAATTGCCAAATAATTTTGACATAATTAATGGACAGCTCCATAATTAAAATGGGATTTGACATTTGATGCATTTTGTTGTGAAGTTAATGTGCTGTTTATTATCGAACCGAATATACATTTTGAACAAATGTTTATATATATATATATATATATATATATATATATATATATATATATATATATATATATATATATATATATATATATATATATATATATATATATATATATATATATATATATATATATATATATATATATATATATACTTTTTAACTTTTGTTTTAGTTGTCTCAAGAAAACCTAACGGTCTTGTCACAGAGCACCGAGGAAGAGGATTTAAATAGGAAGTTCACGCCTTACCAATAGCATGAAATATACCCAGAGCTTATTTCAAACTCAAAGTCTCTTGCTTCAAAATCAAGCGCTCTAACCAATGCGCCACGGCCGCTCATATCCAAGAAGCACAAAATTTTTATATTTATGTAAAATAAGCAAAACGAGTGGAAGAGGAATAAACATTATTTTAAAATAAGTAGGAAAAATAAATGTAAAAACAATAGTTAAAAAAAAATAGTTCGTCCATTCACATAAATAAAAGTTAATCTATATTTAAACTAGCTATACTTAAATTAAAAGAAAATTAATTTTTCGTCATTTTTTATTATTTTATTTTTCAATTTAATTTTTCAATTTTTTATGTTTGTAATTAAAATTTCACATGGTTTTTAATAACAAGCTACCAATAAACAAGCTCCATTAAAATAAAACTTTAAGTTGAATGGTCGAGTACCAAAAGAACTCCTTAGTTCCCAATTGATTTTGTTGTTGCTGTTGGAAAGTTAATACAAAGGAGTTACAAGAGTTCTACAAAAAGTTAAATTTGTTTATCTAATTTTTAAGATGAAATTGAATCACGCATATTTAACTAGTTATGTATTAGCCAAATTCATTAGACGCGGTCCGCACACTTAGGTTTACGATGTCGGGAAAAAAATAAAAATGGTAGCTTCTCAGCTTGATAGTAGTAGCTTGATAAAGTATCAACTAGTGTTCTACATCTTAATATTTATACTTTTTCTGGCTAGATTTTTAAACCGCTTTAATTGTATTGTGCTTCTGCTTTATCCTTTATCATAATTTTAAATCAAAAGATTCAAATGTTTAACTCAAATACTGTCTTTTACCAAGATCATAAAGTGTACAAAAAACCTATATAAAGTTGTTTTAAAAAAGCTTATAAAATAAGAGATTAAATTCAAACAATTTGCCACACATTATTATTCCGGTTGAACAATAAAAAAAAAGATGCAAAATAACTGACTAGATAAAATAAAACTTGCATAAATCATAAAAACAATGTGATATGCTGAAACAAAAACACAATTCAGCAAAGAGGAAATTATAGCTATAAAATTATAAAAGCATATATACAAGTTCAAAAATAAAATTTCAAAATATTAAAATTGCTTTTATCTCGAAAAAATTACAATGGGATCAAAGTTTAAGTTTTTCATAAATTTTTTTAATAGTTTTAACATAACAAAACCAAATTTTTAAATATAACAAAATTAAATAGCAAAACTTGATTCAGGATCAGTTTTTTATTTTCTTTCAATCATATATTGAATTTACTGTTTTTTCAACAATTACTTATAAGGTATTAATTTGTTTAATTTAAAAATGTTTGATGTATTGGTCTCTAGCAGGTATGATTAAAAAACGAAAAGTTTTGATCTGTACACTCAATTTGTAGCTGGCATTGAACAAAACATTGAGGAAAATTTTCGACTTGTTCATGACCCAACACAATCGACACAATCTTGAATTTTCTAGTTTAACAAACTTCTTGACCTAATTTATTAGTGCTACAACCATATTTATTGTCTAAAAAAGACTAAAAGATTAGTCACTTTTCAATTTTTGCTTTAGAAAAAAGTTTTTAAATAGTTACCCTTTTTGAATATTTTCTAAATGGCCTAGGCCAGGTGTAAATGTCCTACTTTAAAAACATTCCAATATAGTATAAAACTTTAAAAGATTCCCAAAAAAAACCAAGCAAATTAGATAGTAATTTTATGTTTTCTGTAATCATGCCACTTTTTTGTTTTGTTCTATGCTTATCTAATAACACGCTGTTTTGGAGCCATGCAGTTATTAAGGTTAATATTAACAATACCATTATTAAAAAGCTCTCTATTAATGAGAAATATCCTATGCTTCTTAAACCGTCATAAGTGCTTTGTACATCTGTACTTTCAGTGTTACTTGGGATAATAGTGACACTCTTGGTATTATTTTAAAATGACGATTTGTATTCAAATTTCAATTTCATTAGTACAAAATAAACACGTAAAAACTAACCAGCCATTTTGTAAAAGTGTTTTTCAATTTTTAAACAATTAATGATAGATCTTTTTTAAAATTGTTTAGCTGTGGATTTGCTGATATAGCAATTATGTCATTTTTTTAATTATTACATTATGTAACTGTTCTGTGTAAGATAGAACCTAAATCTCTTCTTTTATAGTTTTAATTGTAGTTATTATTTTATCAAAATTGTGTTTTTAAAAATACAAAAGTAAAAGTAAAAACAAACCAGGACACAACCTAGTACACAACCTACTAAAATTAACAGAACAACTGCAATGTTCTATTTCAGGATTAAATTAATCAAAAAATAAAACAACTGATTTCAAACTATCTACTCATAGATTTAATCCATGTAACATTAAACCATAAACCTATATTATTTTGCAACTTCGTAGCATTTTTAATGCTTTTTCAGGAAGTCCGCAGTTTCTTTCCTTTTTATGGTCACAATGTCTGCAAACAATATCTTCACTAATTTTCTTACCGTAAAACATTTTGTTTGATGACCACTTAGCTATAATTTTAGGTATTTTAAGTGAGACTGCGTTGAAAATACATTTGCTGTTCAATTTATTTCAGTTTTTCACAATTTATAAGATTAGTTTTTTTTTAGCTTTATATAAATACATTTGCATTTTGTTTCGTAATTTCTCGAAAGTACCACATAAGACTCTTTTTCTATCTTATTAAATGATTTACGTTTTTAATCATAATGAATTAAGAACAAATAACAGCAGCGACAGTAATGTTTAGTTGATTTTTTTAAATAACAAAGTAACCATTACTTTTTTCCCTACATCTAATTAATTTCGAGACCAGGCTTCTGAAATGAACTTGGCTAATTATGAACTGTACTGTATGTTTTAAGCATGATATTAGCTCCAAACTACTAATAGCAGGTACCATACTAGTTGCGTTATCTCAAAATATTTTTATGCGGAATTTTAAAGCTTATATAAAATAAACTTTTATGTAAATACTTTGTCTTGTGTGACTTTTAAAAAATATATAACGACGTGTACTGCTTACTGTTGGGAAAAATTATTTACTGAGTCAACCAATTCGCTTTCAGGATTATGAATGCAAATTTTGAGCTATTTGAAGGTACTCTTGATTTTCTTCCTCTTGATTGAATAAAAGTTATGATTTTCTTTTCAAAATAAATTTTATCGCATTTTTGTGGAGCGAATTTCTCAACAAATAGACATCTGTATTTTACTCACAGTAAACCCAAGAACGTGTTAAGTTTTTTTAAATATTAATAAAAGGGTAAAAATTTCTCAAAAAACAAGGGGTTGCACCCTCCATCACCAAATTCGCTGAAATTTGGCACAAATGTTTAAAGATATAAGTTAGGAAAGACTGTAAGATTTTTTCAAAAAATTCTCAACCCTTTAAGATTTACAGCAACTTGAAGTTAGTTATTTTTTGACTGAAAAAGAAGGGGGATAAAGAAAAGAGGGGGATAAGATGAAAAAGAGGGGGATAAAGCCGGAAATAAGTCAATTTACAATTACCCTTTTAACAAACTTGTAGTAATGTTGCGAAGCTAAAACTTGGTACCAAAGGAGTTTAAAACCTGCTGAATCTGAAAATCATAAACTTATATCTCTCAAAACAATAAAATAAAGTTTATTTTTAGATCCACAAAACGCACTTGTTAATGACAATAAAAAAGGCCATTGACAACTATAGTTTTAAAAAAAATCTGACTGATGAAAAAAAGTTTTGGTTTTCGTTATTTTAAATATTAAATATATGTCTGCTTTGCGAACCAATTTTCATTTGGCCTTATGTTTTATCAAGGAGTTATTGATGTTTTAGTTTTTCAATTTTTCTAAAGATATTTTGCAAAAAAAAAAAAAGTTGCAAATATATTTTGAATACAAATACAATTATTTTTGTTTTGTAATAGCTTTGTAAAAAATTTACAAAGTTATTACAAAATATAGTTGAACATTTTATAAATTTGTTTCTTTTTACTTTCATTACATAATAATAATGTCATTTTCATTACATAATATCATGTCATTAAATTTAACAATATTATGTAACTTTTGTTGTTGATTGTTTTGTTGTAATAAAACATTTATTATCATCAATAAAAAAAAAGTAATAAAATAATATAATAATGTCTAATTAACATTACCATGTTAAGTTACATAACTAAATAAAATTATATTCAGTTATTTTTTACTTTTACACAACTTTTTGTATGTAGTTAATGGAGAATATACAATAATTAGTAGATAGTTAGGCATTTAAAATGTGCCTATTAAACTAATAGCTACTTGTTCAAGCAATATGTTCTTTATAAATACATATTGATATGATATTGTTTGTGTTCAAGTGTACTTTTCTTGTTAGGGACATTAAGATTATTTAAGATTTCTTGTATTAAGTGTTTAGACAGAGATTCCTCATTATATATGGATAACAAAATTAATTGCTGCTTTGTAAATAACTATGGAGCTTGTTATAAACAATCATATACTCAAGAAAGAAATCTGATTGAAGATATTGACAGCAATGATCGTAAGCTACTTGAAAAACGAACAAATCTGAAACAAGAACAAATTACTAATATATGCACACACCATCATGACATGTTTGTTGTAAGATATGAGGGTAATCAGAAAAGTTGCTGTAATCCATTTCTGAGTCACCAAAAGGTGTGTAGAGGTAAAAATTTATATATTTATATTTCATTAGGTAATATCATTATTAATAAGTCATATAAGTTTTTTTGGTATTAAGATTTGTTCAATTCTTCATAGTTATTAGTATAACAAATTGTATAGTAATATAATTACATAATATATATAATTAATGTTATTTAAGTAATGTAGTTACTTTCTTTTTAAGCATCTCTACATGTGATTACAATGCATACTGTGTTAGAAGCAGAAACCATAGGTTTAAATGTTATACCTGGAAAAAAACTGTGTCTAACCTGTCGAAGTAAAGTTATGACATGTTTATCAAAAAGTATAAGTGAAAATAAAAATGATGAAGATTTTGATATTGTTAATGAAAGATCCATTTAAAATAAAAAAGAAAGTGTAGATACACACTTTGCATCTGCTGGAGTATCTCCAATTAAGGTCAAAGGATTGCACAAGTCAGAGAAGGTAAACAAAAATTGACAGCATTAACATCCTCCATTAAAAAAAGGTAGCCATTTCCCTTAATATATCAGAAAAAAATTTTGAAGAACAGTCAAGTTTTAATGAGTATATGGAAAAAGCAAACTTGATTTATAACATGATGATATTGTTAACTAACAAAATTGCAGAATCTACATCAACATCAAAAAAAGTACATCTTGCGACACTTGCTCCAACAGACTGGTCAATAAAAAAGGCATCTGAAACATTGCGTGTAACATCTTCCTGATGTAACAGTTCAACTGGTCAAGACCTTTTACGAAGACGATGAACATAGCCGTATAATGCCTGGTAAAAAGGACTATGTAAGCATAAAGAAAAATGTCCACATGCAAAAACGTTTGCTCTTATGTAATTTAAAGGAATTGTTTGTTGCCTTTAAAACCAATAACCCAGAAATAAAAATAGGATTTTCAAGGTTTCGCACCTTGCGACCTAAATGGTGTATTACTGTTGGTGCCTCAGGAACACATTCTGTATGCGCCTGTGCTATTCATCAGAATTTAAAACTGCTTTTACATCCTCTTGGTGTGACATACAAAGAATTGTTACCTTATATTGTCTGTGATATAACTAATAAAGACTGTATGATGAGGAAATGTGAAAAATGCCTAGCAACTATGGATGCATTGGTTCAAAAACTTTATGATATACTTGGAGAATTTGAAGAATATGATGAGATTGAATTTGATTAATGGACAACAACAGATAGGTCAAACTTGACACAATAAAGAGCCAGTGTTTGAATACATTGAACTAGTATGTAGAAAACTGGAAAAACTTGCACCACATTCGTATTTAGCAAAGAGTCAAGCATTATACCTGAGAACAGGAAAAGAAGATATGAATGAGGTAACAGCATTATTTCTGGGTGATTTTTCAGAAAACTATAAATTTGTAGTTCAGGATGAAGTGCAAAACTTTCATTGGACAAATTTACAATGTACACTTCATCCAGTGATTATTTATTTCAAAAAAGAAGGCATTCTCAAGCACAAATCCTATTTTATTATTTGGGATGATATGATCCATGATGTGAACATGGTTTATAAAATTATTGAGGTTGTTTGCAATGATATAAAAACAAATTTGCCTCAAATAAAAAATATTGAATACTTTTCAGATGGGTGTGCAGGTCAATATAAGAATTGCAAAAATATGTTAAATCTTTGTTTCCATTGTGAAGATTTTGGTTTTACTGCTAAATGGAACTTTTTTGCAACTAATGACAAAATAAACAAAGTCACGGTAAGCAACCTTGTGATGGTATAGTCAAACGTCTGGCAACACTAGCAAGTTTGCAAAGAGATATGGGTAATCATATTTTATCTCCAAAACAATGTATAAATATTGAATGAAAACATTGAAGGCATAAATTTCATATATATTTCATCAGAAGATTTAACTTTGGTGAGAACCACTCTTAAAGAACGATTGGATACTGCTAATACAATACCTGGAACATGTAGTTACCATTAGTTTGTACCACTTGGCCATCTAAAGGTAAATTATTATTTTTTAATTATACCTTTTACCATATTTTAAAATGCACGCATAACTTTTATTGATAAACTCAAATAGATATTAGATTTTTGCAGAATCGTTATCAAAAATATTTGTATTTTATTTTATTTCCTCTGCATTTGCTATCTATGCATTTAATAAAACATGTTTGATAGGTAAAACAGAATAATTGCATATGTTACTATTTTGTTTAGGTAGGCACTAAGCTATGCAGTGTTGATGAAGAATTTGCTTTAATTCATGACTTTGGAAATATCCAGATAACGACTGTAAACCTAGTACCAGGTGATTATGTCTGTGTTTCTTATGAGCAAAAGTGGTGGATAGGAGTCATTGAAGATATTAATTTAGAAGAAAAAGATGTGCTTGTAAAATTTATGTGTCCTAATGGTCCTGCACGGTCGTTTAAATGGCCACCAAAGGAAAGCCAATACTGGATTAATGATGTCCACATTGTTTGCAAAGTTGAGGTACCTATAACAAAAACAGGACTTTGCTACTATTTAGCCAAAGAGGACTTGAAAAAATTATTTTCCTAAGGAAGTAGAGATTTTTATATTTATGAGTCTATTATGTCTTATCCATTCTTTTTTTAAATATTATGTTTTGTTAATCAACTTGTAAATAACGTGAATGTAAAGCATATATAAAATCACTAAAGTTTAGTATTTTAAAAAAAAAAATTTATATACGTTTAAATTTTGTTGTAAATATCATATGAAAATGAAAAAGATAATAAAGTCATTAAATTTTTAGTTTCTAATTTGATTGATTGGTAAAAGGTGGGGTTATATTAAGTGTCTAATTTAAAAAATATTAAAAAATTTTGTGTCTATATCAAACATCAATAATTCCTCAAGTAAATATAAGGCCAAGGTTCGAAAAGTAGGTGTTGATCTTATTTTTAAGAAAATCGAAATTAAATTTTTTTTATATCAGTCAGATTTTTTTTATAGCTATAATTGTCAATGCTCTTTTTTCTCGGCGTTATAAAGTGTATTTTATGGAGCTACATTCCCTTGTTTTGACATATAAAAAACTATATTTTTCGGATTTAACAGGTTTTAAACTCTTTTGGTACAAAGTTTCAGAATTGTGGCATCACTACAAGCACCATATTAAGGTGAAAGTAAACGGAATGATTTTTGGCACTTCTCCCCCTCAGTTTTTAGTCAAAATCAAGGAAACTTCAAATTGCTGTAAATTATAAACGGTAAGGAATTTTATGAAAAAAAATTACAATCTTTCCTAACATATGTCTATAAACATTTGTGCCAAGTTTCAAAAACTTTGGTAATATACGGTGCAAATATGTGTTTTTTTGTGTGTTTTGAGAAATTTTTACCCATAACCCTATTATTTAAAATTTAAGCAAAAATTTATATTGGATAACAACCCCCAAAAATATTATTAAAAGCCAAGGAGTAGGGATGGCTCTTTTTCTTACTTTTTTTTTTACTTACACGAATAAGTTAATTTTTATCAATAGTAAATTACATAAGTAATTTTAAACGTTTAATGAAATATTTGCATTTCTTTAAGTAATTTTTAAAACGGCTTTTACTTTATAATGTTTTTTTACTTTCAAAAGTAAATTATGTAAAAGTAGATTACATTAAAAAGTAATTTACTTTTGCGTGTAAAAGTAAGTCACATGAAAAAGCTGTTTACTTTCACATTTAAAAATTAATTTGCAAAAAAGTCTAGAATTCAGACAAAGCTGAAACATGGCAGCAATAAGGCGCATATATCCATGGAAGACTCAGAAAGAATAGACTATTTGAAAGGCATAATTGGTATAACTTTTAGTACTTTTTACAGGTTTTTAGCGTAAATGTTTTTATTTAAAAACTTAGGAGGAAAAATTTAAACCAAGCCTGGATTGTGGGGGCTACAATCCCATGTCCCGCAGATTTAGAAGCTCCGAAATTTTTAAGAAAATGCTTTTTTTGTAAGGTTTTTTCGCCACTTTAACAAGAAAAAAGGTCACCTGTTCAAAGGTATCCCTAGATACTCCAAGTCTTAATCCTTTTTTAAGAACTCCAGTATTTTATGAGTATGATAAATTTAGAACTATTTATGTAAATATCTTTATCTAAATATACTATCAGTGGCCTAACTACAGCAAGATCAGTGTAAGCAACATTTACTCTCCCTCAAACAACTAGGTCCAGGGACGCGAGGATTAGGAGCTTCAAGGTGTATTTAAAGAGTTTTTTTTGTTGGTTTTTTTAAGTAAAAGTTATTGTTCAAGAGAAACAGAAATTGGGCACCTGGACCAGTATGCTTACTGGCCAAAAATATTTTGCTACGCCACTGTGTAATATACGTATAACCCAAGCTAAGATTTATACAGAGATTAAGAAATAAAACTTGTGGTGATTAGAGCCTGCAAAAAAAAAACCTAAAACATTTACCATCTTTACCCTAAATATGAGGGCGACTATATTAGTAATATAAGCGTACTTGAAGATTTCTTAGATGTAAATAGATGTAAGTTAAAGTTGTTTTGTATTTATTGAATCGACTTTATGTGGTGATAACAGGAATCAGTAACTTTAGCGTAAATTTATATGCAGTAATTAGCGGCTATTATATAATTAAAACGCTGTTTTAGAACTTTAAAATTTAAAACTATTTATGTAAATATTTTTTAAATTCTCTGTTAAATTTTTTGCATTGTTAAAATAATATGATCACGAATGAATAAATCTGTGGCGCAAAATTTTGTTGCTAAAATAAAATAAAAAATTTCATAAAGAAAAATATATTAGCTAAAAACCCAATCCATTTTTGTTTGAAAACAATGCATAGAAACATTAAGTTTTGACTTGCTCAAATAACCCAGTATTTTTCATTGAAATTACCTAGTTTAAAGTTCTAAAGTAGGTTTTAATTGCTTAAGGTTTTAATTGCTTTTTGAATACAAACAAAACATAGTAAAAAATTTGAATATTTTAACAATACTAAATATTTTTCTGTAACTTAAAATAAAAAAATTTGAATTTTTATCGTTCAAAGGTATGAGTTTAAAAAATTTAAAAAAAAAACTTTTTTTTTTGAGGAAAATACAGTAGTATTGTTTCAACAAAATATGGCTTAAAAGTCGATCTTTTAATGATAAGTTTTGTTAATAACAAATCATTACATTCCAAAAATTAGTTCTAATTGTCAGGTTATGTAATTTTTACTTAATTAATATTTTGTTTTTGAACTAATTTAAAGTGTTCATTTTTAAAAAAGTATTTTCGGGTGCCCAAATATCTAAATGGATCATGAGTAGGGATCCCTAAAAATTATTTATTCTCAAAAATTTTGGATCTAGCATAATTATTTTTTTAAATATTTCAATTTTTACTTAAGGTGCTCATATTATCCTAATCTACCTTATCTTACGAAGATTTTGACTTTTTAAAATGCTTAAGTCTAATAAATCAGCTGACCATGATAATATAAATCAGCTGACTATGATAATATAAATCAACTGACCATGATAATATAAATGGTAATATCGAGTCTTATGAATTCCTAAGACCATGATAATATAAACCTTGATAATGACCATGATAATATAAATGGTAATGTCGAGTCTTATGAATTCCTAAAAAATGTACTATTTAAAGTTTTACATTGATCAATAAAACAGGGCGATTTTCCTCTTTTTCTAAAAATAGCTAAAATGACAACAATTTTCAAAGCTGGTGATGCAACCAATGTTTCTAATTATCGCCCAGTTTCTGTTTTGTCTGTTTTTTCTAAAGATTTAGAGAAAATTTTATATAACGTAATTTATAATCACCTTTTTTCAAATAATATACTATATGTTAATCAACACGGATTCAGAAAAATAAAACTCAACAGAACATGCAATAATCCAAATTATCCGCAATTTTTCTAAATCTTTTGAAAATTCTCAATTCACGTTGGGAGTTTTCAGAGATTTATCAAAAGCTTTTGATACAATTGATCCTAAAAAAACTTGAATATTATGGAATTAAAGGAAGCGTTTTACTGTTATTTAAAAGCTGTTTTAGTAACCGTAAACAGTTTGTTTATAGAAACTTAACTGACCCATCCAATCTGTTAAATATAACTTGTGGTGTTTCACAGGGTTCTATACTTAGGCCCCTTCTTTTTCTCGTTTACATCAATGATTTACATAAAGCTTCGAACTTGATCGCTGTCATGTTTGCAAATGACACTAACCTCTTTTTTATCTGATAACAACATTACAATATTATTTCAAAATATGAATATTGAATTAACAAAAAATTCTGAATGGTTTAAAATAAACAAGCTTTCACTTAATGTTGAAAAAACTAATTGGATAGGGGAGAGCGGGGTTGGTTGTCACACTTTTTACATTTTAGGCTGCTCAGCTTTTAATTTTCATCCAATCAATGCCAAACTTTGCACAAAGCTAATTTAACTATTTCCAGTAACTATTATAATATTTTTATGACATTGAGTGAAATATTTATTGCTGTAAAATCATTTTTCAAAGACCACTTCTGTGTGACAACTAGCCCCGCTCACGGGGTAGGTTGTCACATGGTGCGGGGTTGATTGTCACATTTGGATTTTGACAAGTTTAGATAAGAATTTAATGTAAAACGAGTACAAATTAATTTCGTTTATGTTTTACTAAGAAAAACAAAAATAAAATACTATAAACTGAAATATATATATTTTAAATATAACACAATTAACAAATTTAGTTTATTACTATAAATGTTTTTAGGTTTGGTTTTTTAAAAATTATTGGATAAAGAACACAATTCACAAATAAACTGTTGTAAGCCTGGTGTGCATTCTTCATGAGCCCATTTTTGGCAAACCTGACATTGAATCCACTGTTCTCTTGATCGGCTGTTGGAAAATGATTCAAAACAATAGATGCACAGATACTCTTTATCTTCAGATGAATTTAAGACTATAGAAGGTTTTTTCGTAGCAAGATTTGCTTTTATTAATTCTTTTTTACTTCCATTAGTAAATTTTTTTTTATTAGTTTTCTTCTTTTTATAATTAGCAAGCCATGCTTTGACAGGCGTGTTAGTAAGAATCATAGTTGACCGCTTTTTCCTACCTGTTTTTGATGCTAACCTCCGACCTGCTTTAGGCAGAGGCCTAATACTCTCAGGTGGTATGATTGAATTGTTAAAACCTAATGTTGTGATTGGGTTCTGATTAGGGGTTTTATTTAATACAACTGGATCTTCTATTGTTATGTCTACCTGATTACCTGGTATCTGAATAGATTCTTTAAATCTTTTATTTGATGGTTCTGGTTGCATTGAATAAGATTCACAGTCTTTTTTATTTGAATCAGCCTGTGAACAAGGTGGGTCAGGGCGATCAGTTACATAGTTAGGACAGTAATCAATTTCAGTAAACACATCAGGATTTAACGGGTAAATACCTGTTGCAGAAAAACCACTTAAAATATTGTGGGGAGATACAGCCTTTGGAAATGCAATGTTTACTATTTTTGGAATATCATATATTGTAACAGTTTTTCCAGGATTCATTACTAACCATGATGTCATAGCAGTATTTATGTAGTTTTTGAGAGGACCATAAACTGCCTTATCCAAGGGCTGCAATTTATGTGTGCAATGTGGTGGGAAGGTAAGCATTACTATTCCATTATTTTTTGCCAAATCTAATCCTTCAATACTAAGATGAGTTTCGTGATTGTCAAGCAACAATAAACAAGGCTTTTCTTTAGTACATTTTGTATTGCCTACAAAATGTTTTAGATATTTTACAAAGTTTTCTTCTTTCATCCAACCACTTGGATTTGCATCTCCTGCACTTCCTGTTGGTGCACTGATTAGGAAATGATCTTTAAAGTTTTTACGAGGAAAAATAAAAAAGGGTGGAATACTATTTCCAATAGCATTTATTGTGCATGCTAATGTTACAAGAGTTCCTCTTTCAGCTGACGTGATGGCTCCTACTTGTTTTAATCCTTTTTTCGCAATAACCTTTTTAGGTTGCTGTACAGTAGTTACAGCAGTTTCGTCCATGTTCCAAATGTCATTTGGTGAGAACGAGTATTTTTGCATACAGTGCTGCAAATTGCTAAAAAATGATGCAACATTCTGCTTATTGAAACTTGTCGCTCGACTTAAACTAGTAGCTTCAGGTTGCCTAATGGAAATATTTGAATGGCGCTTTATAAATCCTGTAAACCAATCCTTACCAGCTTGTTCCTTTACAACCCAAGAATTGGGAACCTTCATATTATTTTTAATTGCTAGCTGGAAAGCAAGCTTTTTTACTTCGGTAGGAGTTAAACCAAAATATATATCTGCTGCTCGCAACAGGTAGGTGACCAGTTCTTTTTCTACTTTTTCTGGCAATATCAATTGACTTTTGTATCCTATAACATTCAGGGAGGTGGGGTTTTCAATTTTGTCAATTAGATCTGCTATAGAACAATGTGATGGGTTAGTAATAATAATTTTTTTACAATAACGTGCTAATGTTCTGTAATTAATGCCATGGTTTTTTGCTGCTGATCTAATAGAAATGTTATTAATCTTTACATCTTTAACAGCACACATTATGACATCTCCAGAAGTATAACCTCTATTAGTTTTTCTTTTAAAATTTCGTACCATGTTTATTACTAAGCAAATAAAAATATTTGCAAATAATGTAAACAAAACATTAATATATATATATAATATATATATATATATATATATATATACATATATATATATATATATATATATACATATATATATACATATATATATATATATATATATATATATATATATATATATATATATATATATATGTGTATATATATATATATATATATATATATATATATATATATATATATATATATATATATATATATATATATATATATATATATATATATATGTATATATATATATATATATATATATATATATATATATATATATATATATATATATATATATATATATATATATATATATATATATATATATACATAAACCCACTAAATATAAACAATGCACAAACAAAACAACAGACAGTTTTACAAACTAAACAACAGCTAGTTGTTTAGTTTGTAAACAAAACAATAAACAGTTGAACTTCTGCAATCCTTTTTCTATAATTATACTAAACATTGGATCGGAATCTAAAGTTATGCACGTTGAAATAAAAATAATTTAGATTACAGATATTTAGTTAAACAAATATAACACTTTGACTTTAGATTTTTAAAGAATATCTTAAACATTAAAATATTCCTCAATAATGCGGAAAATAAACAAAGCCACTAAATATTCTGCAAGCGGCGTTTAATTTGCAGCGCATGGAGTCGAGGCAAGTGTGACAACCATCCCCATATAATTTGTGACAAGCAACCTCTTCTGAGTAAGCTACTGGACACCTGTACATTTACCTAAAAGCGTGAGAATTTCATGATATTTTTTTACGGATTAAGTTACTCAAATGAATAAAGTACTTTATAAATCTACATTCAAAACACAATAAAATAATTTTCGTTTGGTAAAAGAAAATTTCTGAGTAGGCGAAATTTTACTTTTTCATATCAAAAACCTATAAAAACGAATAACTTTTCTTGTGCACGCTAAGAAAAGATAAAAATTATTGTAAAAATGTTTTTTTTATATAACATTTCCATTGTATAATTTGAAATTTCTATATCTTATTTACATTTCCTGTAATAAACTTTGTGACAACCAACCCGCGTGACAACCAACCAACCAAAATTGAACGTCTTTTGAACGTTTTGGACGTCTTTTAAACGTTCAAAAGACGTCTTTTTATGGTCCGGTGCCCACTGGGTTAACTCAATCATATTACTCCGTTATCTATTGTCATTTAAACAATGCAAATATTGCCTGGTGTAGTGTTAATAAATACAAACTTAGACCTCTTTATCGTCAACAAAAGCATGTTGCTCGTCATTAATTTTAAAGGTAGATTTACTAATGCTAAGCTTCTCTTATTTGAAATGAAAATTCTTGATATATATCAGCTAAATGTTTTTGATATTCTTTGTTTTATGTACAAATGTAAAACTAACGCCAACCCAAATAAATACAACTTAAGAAATGATAACTTAATTCGTCAACCATTCTTTCAAACTAATTTTGGAAAATCAAGAATTTCATGTCGTGGAGCTTCTCTTTGAAATAAAAATTTTTTAAAACATTTTGATTTTTCTTTGGAATGGATTTACCTCTCACTCAAAAAAAGCTTAAGGAAACCATTTTATCTATTGATGATATAATTTTGTATTTTTAAACATTGAATTATTTACTTTTTTATTTTTTATGAATTGATGCAACTGAATATGTTTATAATTGCACTTAAATTTTTCTTGTGCTTTATACACTTGACCATGTATGTATGCATTTGATTTTTACAAGATTTTTAAATTTACGAGCGGTTCTCGATGAAGACTTGGTCTTCTGCGAGTGTCCTCTTTATTTTTATTTATTAAATCAATACTTGTATATTTTTTGTTTATTTATATTTTCTAGTTGTAAAAGGATTTTTTAATCTTAACAATTTAATTTATTTGTATAACGACTTTTATACTTTGAGTCGACAAAGTCGACAGGTTTTAAAATTTGAAATTCAAAGGATATGATATAAGGATAGGATAAAAGGATAGGATATAAAGTTAACACCCAAACCGAATAAGGTGGTTGTTTCAACATTTTCCTAAACATTATAATGTGATATAAACAAGAACATACTTAAGTTTGGCACTTAAGTATGTTTTATTTACCAAAAGTATATTTATTAACCAAAATCATTGGTTTTTTATAATCATATTAATATTACATCTCAAAATTTACGCAAGTAGACATCATTATTGGTTACCATAATGTTTTTAAATAAGTTTAATATGGTTTTTAGCAACTTATTAAAAGACCTCATTTGTACGTAACTATTAGTAACTACGTAACTATTAGTAACTACGTAACTATTAGTAACTACGTAACTATTAGTAACTACGTAACTATTAGTAATACTATTAGTTAAATATGCTGTTGATTAAGTAATTCTAATCGGTTTGGTGATAAAAGGAGTCGCCGCATTTTCAAATTATGAAACCTTTTTACATTGCTTTTGACGTTTGTTAATTAGTTACTTTTACACATAAAAGTAATTTGTTGTTATGATGTAGATTTATTTTACTTTGAAAAGTAAATATTATGTTTTTTAAATATTATATTTGCGCAAGTTTACTTCATAAATAACTTTTTTTACATAAAAAGAGAAAATTACATTTCAATGTAAATTTTTTACATAATTATAACCAAAATTACTTTTCAAAGTAATTTACTTTAGACGACTTACCATAAAAAGTAAGCTGAGATGTAGGTCTCGAGACCAAAGTCTTGGTCTCAAGACGCCTCGAGATTCATATTTAACTGTTTTGGTCTTGGTAATGGTCTTGAAGTCTTAAGTCTTGGTCTTAGTCTTGGTCTTGAAAGCCTAGAGTCTTGGTTTCGGTCTCGGACCTCTATTGACTTTTACTTTCTTAATTCTTACGAAAATGATCAACTCAATGAATGGATTAGTTATTAATAACAAACCGTAGATCGCCGCAACTTCCCGCTCTCAATGAGAGTTCGTCGCGTTAATTTGACAAGGTTCTAACTGAAATTTTTTATGTTAGGAGAATTCAAAAGAAATCTTTTAATTTTTTTTTTTTTAATGTTTAATCAAAAAGAGATTTAGATCTCAAAACCAAAGTCTTGGTATTAAGACTCGTATTTAACTACCTTGGTCTTGGTATTGGTCCTGAAGCCTAAAGTCTTGGGTCTTAGTCTTGATCTTTACTGTCTTGACTACATCTCTGAAAGTAAGTAAGATTTACAAGTAAAAGTAAAAATGCAAATTACTTGTACTTGTAAAAATAAATTACTTTTTCAAGAAACACTTACTCATTTAAAAAACTTAAATAATTAAGTTTTACATGTTATCTAATTTACGTAAAAAGCAAAAAACAAATTACTTTAAGTAAATTGTATATTTTTATATGAGTTATGTAAAGTAACTTACGCCTAAAAGTAATTCGCGTTTTTACATCAAAATAAGTAAAAGCGTTATCCCTACCAAGGAGGTTTAAGAGGTGTATAAAGACTCTTTGTTAAAAGCCTTAAAGCATATTAACTAAAATGTTTTTCATGTTGATTTTATGATTGATTATTCGATAATTAAAACAATTCTATAGTCACGATTTTTTTACAATGTTATTTTTTTTGATTGCAATTATCGATTTTGATTGCTTTATGGTTGATATCTTTTTTTTATCTGGTTATTAACGTGCTCCAAGAAGATCTAACGTTTAACGAATATGGCCCGAGCATATGACATCAAACCTCGTACCTCTCAGTTCTGTAGCAAGCGCTCCAGTCACTACGCCACGTCTGCTTTTAATATATCCTGTGAATTTTGTGTTTATGTGTGTATGCAGAGTCATCGCAAGTCCAGAGGATTATCAAATCTATAATATGATTGAAAGCCACTTAGTTTATTATATGTTTGCAGAAATCGGGTTGCAACTTATATCTTTTGTCTATTAACATTAATTTTAGTATATGAAACACTTTAGTTTAAAAGTATAAATTTTAAAAAGTCAACATATTCAAATATAAAACAATTTAAACAATCCTGATTTAATTTACAAAATCTTTGTCCTATAAGGATATTTAAATTCTAGGCTCATAAAAGCCCTCATTAAACCCTAAACAAAATAAAGTTGTTTATTTCCACTACACAAGGCAACCCTGTGTTGTGGAGCCACGCTTTTGTTTTTATTTTTATTATATATTTTTTTGTTATCTTTTTGCTTTCTATATTTCTAATCGTAAAAATAGTTGATAAGAAACTTTGATAGAAGAGACCATTACAAAAGCTGTGCCAATAATTTTTGATTAAATTTTCCAAATGCAAACTAAAGTTAAAATTTATTCAAGTTTTCGAAACATAACTTTTGTTATAACTTCTATTAGTTAACTGCTTTCTAAACTAATAGCTGGGATATTTTTTCGCTTAAATTTTTTCTAGCTTGCTTTTTACTTTTATTAAGGCTTTGTTGTTGTTTATAATTATTTTATTTTAAAATTCATTGTTTGTTAATCTAAACTAAATAGATTAGAATAATCAACGTTTAAATTCACAAAGAATTGTTATGAAAAATTGTTTCTTTAAAGAAAAATAAATCTGACGTCTACTCAAATTTTCAAACATCAGAACGTTAAGAAAAGCGGAATGAGAGCCGTTGCGCAGTGAGTCAGAAAGGTAAAAACAGTGTAAATTACGTAACCAATAGATATAAACATAAAGTAAATCATTATTAGGTAGATATTTTGGGTCAGAGATTTAAGGTTTGTTATTGAAAATATACGCGTGTTAGTGCGCGTACGCGTTTTTTTAAACGAAAAGAACAATTTAAATAATATTTGTACTCCACGATCTAAACTACAATATAATAGAAATCCACTTATTTTTTAAATAAGTTTTGCACTTATTCCATTTAAATATGCGTATTACAGCGTTTTATTCGCACTAATACTGATTAAAATAAAATATTCCGAAAGCAAAAATACCTGAATATCTCGTCTTGACCAAAATAAAAAAACACACATATTTAGGCATAAAGAGATTATACATATTGAAAAAATGTTTAATGCTCTGCTACGAAAATTCAGTGAGGGTATTGTAATTTTCTTTACTATATAAATTTTTTTTAATTTTTTTTTTTTTAGAGTGTGCGCCGTTTATTTTATTCTCTCAGGCGCTTTGTTGGATTTAAATTCTGCCCAGAAAATTTGTAGATCGCTTTTAAACTTTAAAATCTAAGGAATCGGGAGCCTCGATTGCGCGAACTTAAAAATTCAAGTTTGAAATGAACATTTAACCAAAACAAAAATATTGTTGGAATATTTCAAAATATCTGCCTAATATTAAAAAATATATACCTCTTTTCTTTACAACAGTTAGCTTTTTTAAGTAATTTACAATTAATTTTAAATACTTAAAAAAAAAAACGTAAATAACATGAATTTTTTAATTAAACCATCATTTTGCCGTTAAAATACTTTTTTTCTATTTTGATAAATTGGTTTAAAATTCTTACCGGAAATTCCACGGGCGTTTTTCGACTTTATTTGCAGTTTAACTTTTTTTTTAGAATTTAGTTTGCTTCGATTTTCAAAATTAGAATTTAGTTAGCTTCGATTTTCAAAAATAATCCGAAGAACACTGCTTTATTTCGTGTTTGAGTTCTATTCTATGAAGTCAGCGGAAAAAATAAATTATGAACAATGTCATTGTTCTCTTTTTTGAATTACTTATGCAAAACCTTGGAATTTTTATAACGCGCTTTCTTATTTATTTGGTTAAATTTATTTAACGTATATCTATGTATGTGTGTGTGTGTCATATTTAGTTAAGTTTTGAAATTGACCACAAATAATTTACTTATATGATTTATTTTAAAGCAACTGCAATGGAGTTACCAACTTTTTTAAGTTATCTTTTTTCAGTGTTATTTAACTTTTTTTTTTTTTAAGATGTTGTATTGTTTTTTGGTTGTTGTATTATTGTATTATTTTATTGTAATATTTACTTATAAGGTGAATAATCTTTAATAAGTTATGATCAATGCAAACAATATCATCTATGCAGCTGCCATTTTGTACATCAAGAGCGCATTCCGATCCTGATTATACTCGCTGGATTATATCTTACATTACTTAGTCCGAAAATATTTAAACTTAAAACAATTTTTTTTTTTACTTTTTTTACTTTTTACATCTCCTTGGCCTCAAAGGCCGCGGGGGCTGTTCAGGAGGCAACTCATTCATTTTTTTAAATTGATAATGATCTGGTACTTGGTTTTACCATGTATTTATTTATCTATTGGTGTTACTGCTGATCACCTTTTTTGTGACGTCATTATTTAATATCAAGCGGTTTTTTGACTTCAAAATTAAAACATTTAAACTTATATGATTATATTGTATTAATTGTATAATATTATTTTTTTTTTTTTTTAGATTATTTTTTAAAAAGGCGTTTTTTTCCGGTCTAGGACAACCAAAAAACGCCTTTTTTTTTCCAAAAAAAGGCGTTTTTTTTTTGACGTATTTAGGATTTATTGAACCTTTTGATAAATTTAGAATGAACTGTATTGATTTATGAAATAACAGAAGTTTGAAGTGAACATGGTGGGTTTATTTAATTTTAAAACGCGTTTAAAAAACATACTGTAGTCAATTGCAAAAACAAACCTAAACTTCTTTTAAAGTCTTTTTTTAGTGAGCTTTAATCAGCTATATCGGTTTTTTTATCAACGTAAGTTTTGCAGACTTTTGTTGTGATTAAAAAATTATGTTGCATTATCTAATTAAATCAGTTATCATTAGACGTAATGATGCACGCTTGTAATAAATAAGATTCAATTTTTTTATACAAAAAAAATACATTTTTTAAAAGACGATTTCAAAAATTGATTATCAACAACATGTAGATAAAATAAATTGTAACTCTATAAAAGTGAAATTATCCATATAAGTTTAAAATTAGAAAAATTAGGTTATTAATAATATATAATCAACATATCTAGGCGAGAGGAAAAAAAAAGAGGTCGTTCATAAATTATGTCACGCTCTAGGGGGGTGGAGGTGGGAAGAGATTTGTGTTTTGTCACGACTCATACGGGATTTGTTACAAAAGAGTTACTAATTTATGACGTGGAGGGGGAGGGGTCAAAAACTGTCAAAAATTGCGTGACGTAATTTACGGACGACCCCTAAACATATGTCCGTAGAATGAAAAAGACAAACTTGTTACTGAGCACCATTTTTGTATATTAAATATAACCTTTTTTTTTCCAATGAACTTTATTAAACAAAGAATTAAACAAACAGAAACTTCGACTGACAAGTTTTTTCAAATGTTAACAATTTGTGCGAGAAACTAATTTTGCAAATATAATTGTTTGTAAATATTATAAATAAGTTATATTTAAATAAGTTATATGTAAATATTACAAATATTATAAATCTTTGTTGTTTGTGAATATTATAAATAAGAACACGAGTGAAGTAAATCTGTATGAGCTTAATATGTTTAATGTCTCTTGTTTTATGTATGAAGAAAGATTTATCCCTCCTAGTTTTTAAAAGTTTTTTTACTTTTAAATGTAAGAAAAAAAAAATGTTTATTGAGAAATACTAATTTGTTAAATAAACAACTGTGTCGAACTAAGATTAATCAAAAAAGCTAATCGTGCATCTTTGAAATAAAGTTATTTCATCAAATATGTTCTTTGAAATTAAGTTATTTCATCAAATATGTTCTTTTTAATTTAATAAATCTTTAAAATGTTGATCTATCAACTTTTTTAAACTAGTTTAATAAACTTTATTCTATCCATGTTTATCGATAGATAGTATGTCATCACAATAGTGAGTATTTTCTGTGAATCCATACCGTAAAAGTAATCACTTATTTAGGATATCTAAAAGTTATTTTAATTGCTTAGATATTTTTTTTTTTTAAGTTTTTTTGTTTTTAATTGTGTTTAAAGTAAAAGTGAGTTTAAAGTAGGTGCAACATTAACCGAGGGTCTGGGGCCTAACATTGCACAATAAGGTTTGAAAAACCTTACAATTTGTTTACAAATTGCTATTAATGGTTGCAAATAAAAGTTTCTTTGAAAGTATAGTTCTATGAAAAGTTTAAATAAACGATCAATTTTACTATCATTTCGCTAAATAAAGAGTTTAATGTTATGATAAAAGAGTAATGAAAAAAACCATATTAAAAACAAAAATAATAATAAATTAAGTTTTTTGTACGTTGGTAATACTTTTTACAAAAATTGAAGATTTTTTTAAAATAAAAACTAAAAACACAGAGCCCCAATAAATATCTAATTATGGTTCTTCTTTCTGAAACGAAATATTTTTCCATTTTCATGCTGTTAATGTTTCACCATTGGCTTCACCTAAACGCTATTTCCTTTGACAATTATAGTTTGTCCAGTAAAATGTTCACCTTCATATGTAAATACAAAAAACTAATTTTCCACTCTTTCACAGGTATTTAATTTTTTAAGTTTAATTTCTCATTTTTTCCGCACAGTAAGCCATAAAGACCGTCATGTTCGAAATCTCACCACGTCAGATTTTTTTATTTTAAGTTTTTATAAGTGTTTTTCAAGTGCAAATCAAATCTGAACTCGATCAGAAGAGTTAGTAATTTAAGTTTAAAAAAAGTAAAAAGGACAAAAAATTTACCAATTAAAACGATGTAATCCACTATTTTCGGCTTCTTTTTTAAAATGATTTTCAACCGATAAGAAAAATAGTTGGAGAAAACCGACAGAGAAAAAATAGATATGAGGCATATAATTTAACAATTATTTTCATTCCTAACTTTTTTGAAATATTTGTGTTTTAGCTTTAGTTATGGTAAAAAAATATATTTAATTTAGTTATACTTTATTTTTAAGGTGAGAATCCATTAACTTTAACCGTTGGAACTAAAGATAATAAATTTTCCAGAAAGTCTTTCAGATATCATTCCAAACAGTTATGGAGTTAACTTCTAAACTGGAATTAACAAAAAATCAAAAAAAAAATGATATCAAGTCTGCGTAAGAATCTCGGGTCGTCTTATGTTGTTGAGAACAATGTAGTTAGCATGATGATATCATTGCAACAAGAAATTGAATCTAAATATAAAACAGAGCAAGATGATTTTATTTGGAATGATGAAACTGTAACCAGAGATATAGTATTTATTCATGACACTTCTGAATTTATTCTTAATATTTTAATGAAAAGAGGTTTAGATACTCTTTCCAGTATGGTACGTGTATCCATTGATGGAGGTCAAGGATTTCTTAAAGTAATTGTAAATGGCTTTGGCAAGACCAATAAAAATGAGATATACATCATCAGTGGAGTTAAGAAGTGTTTTATACTTGCTATTGTTGAAGATATTTGTGAAGACCATGGAAGTCTGCATAAAATCTTGAACTGATTAAATCTAGATGAGTTACGCATCACCTTGCATTTGATTTAAAATGTGCTAATACAGCATTTTCGGTTTATCTTCTCATTCTGGTAAATATGCCTGCTTATGGTGTGAAGGTGAATGTACCCTAGAAAGTGGTATTACCAAGAACGTTAGGGTCTCTTGATCATTGGTACAAGTAATTTGTTGAAAATGGGGCAAAGCGATTGCAGATAAAAGATTTAAAAATGTGATTCGTCCTTGTCTTGTTTATTTTGATAAAAATCCTGAAGTTGAAATTAATCACTTAGTTCCACCACCAGAATTACATCTTCTTATGAGGATTGTGACACTACTTGGTAGACTACTTTTAGATCATTGGCCTCTGTTTGATTATTGGCTCAAAGAGCATTATATTTTCCTTTGTGGTTATCATGGAACAGGCTTTGATGGCAATGATGCCACAAAACTTTTAGAAAAGTAGATATTTTAGAAAGATATATTTTAGCATCTCAAACTAATTTGATACTTATTGTTCATTGCCTCAGAAAGTTTTTGAAAGTTAAAGAGTGCACAATTGGACAACAATTAGGCAGTAATGTTTCTTTAGTTATTGAAGAGTTCAAAGTATCATTTTTTGACCTTCAGCATTATGCAAAAATACATTTAAATGCATAGCTGAATGTTACTTGGAAAGTACATATAGTGGTTTGTCATATTCTCCCATTTGTAAAATATAATTTTTGTTCTCATATGCTGAACAGACTGGAGAGGCTGTTCGCAGTGCCTTTAAACCAAGTTGGTCTCGATATAAACGAAGGACTGGGCATATAGAATATGGTAAACGATTAAAATCTGCCACTGCCACTTTTTGCATAGATAAGATGTAAATATTTCAATAAATAAGTAGTTGTGTTAATATTTTTATTGCATTCATTGTTTTTTTCTTGTTATTTTTCTTTTGTATTATTACTATAAGGAACTCTGATGATTTAAGCTTGAAGTTATAGATTATATTATAATACTTTAAAGAGGATAATAACAGATATTGATTTTTAAAATAATAATAGAAGGGGTTACTTTTATAGGGGGTATGTTTATCGCTTTAAGGGGGTAAATAGGGTTAAAAAATTTATTTTTTTTGGTACTTCTGATCTACTTAAGATTTATTTAATACACAAAAATAACATATTTTAGCAGCATTTATCTTAATATAAAAAAAATTAGCGATGGGGA